TAGGATTTTAAAGTAGAGTTTGATTTAAAATGTATTTATTTATTTAGATTAGTTCTAGTATTTCGATAATTTTTTAAGAAGTTCATTTGATTTTAGTTTCTTTGCTCAATATAAAGAGGGCTTATTTATTGTAATAGGTACCTTGAATATATGAATAATTGATTCTCTCACTAATTTCTTCTTCTTGGATCCCCTTTCTCTTTCTTGTTCTTTTTCAATTGTTCTTGTCAAATTATTTTGTTCGCGTGTCATGATTTTTGGTCAGCTATGTTAATAAAGAAAGATGAATTTCAAATGTGCTTTAAACCAAGTAAGAATTTCAAATGTGCACGTAGTACTATAAAAATTAAATGCCTAAATGAGATATCGTGATGGCATAAGCATTTGGGCTCAATCATGTAAAGAAAACGAAAATGCAGTAAATTGTTTGTCCCATTTCTTGTAGTTATGAAAGGGTCGCATTTTATCTTATTTTCACAATACGTGTGTTATTTTCCTAAGCACGAGTTTTAGGTATTTGATGGATTGAGCTTCGTGGCATCAAGTGGAGCATCAAAGAAGATTGGGGTAAATGGGAGAAAAAGGGAAATAATCAGGTTGTATTTGAACTTTGCTACCATATGTTTCCATAGAATTATTAGTTGCTCGTTTGATTTTAGTTTGAATTTGAATTACAAGTTTTTGTAATAGATTTGGATATCTTAAGGTAATTAATGTGGCCTTCGATCAGTAAATATAATGAACATGATTATGCATATTGTGTTAAACTAATTAGGTAGTTTGGCATACTTAGCCCTTGTTTGGTTTCAACCACACATTTCAAGGGGCCCATAATTTTTATTTACTTTTCAACCACGTATTTCATCAAAGTTTATTAAAATCTACAAAAAACATGATTTTTAGCAAAACCAAACAAGGCTTAGTCTATTAGAATTATGAGATTATGAAATTTTCCACCATGTTAGAATTATGTTAGACTTGGACCTCCAAATTAGGAGAATAGAATTTCAATGGTTAAATGTCCAAAACAGAAAATACTGTAAAGTCCAACTTCCCATGAATTTTTTGAGGCAATTAACTAACATTGAGTAATTAATTCTGAATTTTTTTTCTGCAAGCATCCCGTGTTAACCATCTTTGGTAATTTATAGAAACTCAAAAATGAAATTCACATATTTCAAAAATGTTTTTCCCGAATTGGGTAAGTGCTGAATTCGTTCGATAAAAAGCAAGTGATTTGAAGTATAAAATTATTTACTTATCTTTTTGTAGCGACTTAAAATATGAAAATGACATAATGAGTGATTGAGAGAGTGAGCGAGCGATCTCCAGGACACTAAGTCACAGGGCATTACCAAAGTGCTATGCAAGTCATATTGAGCTTGTTAAGTGACCTTAACGCTTGAAACTGATCATCATGTCCTCCACTTACTCATACTATAAATAGAAGCATCACATTCACTTCTGGGATCCCCAAGTGAAAAACACAAACAATGCACAATTCCATATGCCAAAAATTTTCTTCTAACTTGACCATTGGAGTGTGTACAGTGGTCGACCTTTCAGCTCGACCACCGTGTTTGGGACTAACGAAGTTGCTCATTTTGCCATCAATAATAAGCACTTCGGAAAAAGAGTTGTGTACTGATCATGTCATTTCTAAGTGATATTAGATGGTCTAAACAATTAACATATAAGTCAGGAGCAAGTAGGGAATTTGCTACCAGAGTTTCATGCCTTCACCTTCCCTTTCACTTTACCTTCACCTCTCCTAAAAATCCTATTTAAAGTATATTTGCATTTTCAAGATTACAGCATCAATAGTAAACAGCTGACAAGATGTCAAAACGATTACCTATACACAGCTAGATTAACCAAAAATCCAACGAAGATGAAAATACTCTTATTACGAACTGAGCAGTGTTAGCTTGTTGGGCATTGCACTGCTATTGTTATTCTGTTTGTCGTCAATTTTTCACTTTACAAGGACATGATTTACAAATTACAAGAACTAATATCTTGAATATTCACGTGGTGGGAGGATTAAAAACATCTTATGCAAAAGCAACTATTACTCTGCATAAATGTCCATCCAATATAATTACTTCTAACATGCATAAATTATCTGTGCCTGCAGTCGTGCACTGTGAACATACATAGACACGGTCGACTGAAGCAGTAAAATATATCATACAGTGACAACAAACAATTAGTTCCAATATTAAATTGTTAACAAATTGTAAAGCCTGAGGAACAAAATCAAGTGCATCCACTTCTTCAATTGGCGTGCAATTCGAAAGCATAAACTAACATTCACAGTCTAACCACAAGAAATCAAAATTGTCAAGAATTATTAAAAGGGTGATGCTACATGTACCCACGAACTTCCACACAATCTTTTACACGGACCCCCCTCCATGTGAGGGGGGTGTAAAAGATTTTGTGAAAGTTTGTGTACACGTAGCATTATTCATTTCTTTAAGCCTAACTAAAATTAATAGAAATAAAGTAAATATTTACCTGTAAAGCCTTAAACAAAATTTTTGCTTCTGTCCATGGACACCTCATCAAACGTCATTGCCGGATTCTCCGGCATCGATTGATCCACATCCATTTCCAATCCCAATCCCACACAGGCAACACAATCTCACTCACAATTTTAAACCCACCTCAAAAAAAATAAATCATAAGAACTTCATTCGGTAAGACGAAATTACTGCAGAATAATTTGTGGGCTTGAGTTAGATTCGGAGCTAAGCGTATGAAGGTGATGAATGAGGAATCAGGTCAAGAGGTCAAGTGTGTGTATGTGTGTAATACTGTAATTGAAGCAATTCTGGTAATATGATGCGGTGTTGTGTAGTAATAAATTGTATGGCAAGATAGGAAGAATAAAGTGGGATTTGTATTTAGGCTGCCTTTACCCAAGTTATTTTGGAAAAATGTATTTTGAAATAGTAGAATGATGAAAAATGTATAGAAAAAAAATTATTGATGTGATGAGAAATATTATTTTATTGAAAAATGTGTGGTTGAAAATGAGTAGAAGAATGAGAATGAAAATTTTAATATGTACCAAACAGTGGCTAAATGGTATTAATGGTATGTTAAGTGTAACTTTTCGTTAAGAATATT